CACGGAACATTCAAACTGCGCTTCAGAGTACAGGTCAAACACAGACCTTACCATAAATTAAATTCAGTGACCAGAACATGAGGACAAAGCTGGAAACAAGGAAAAAGCCAGATTTGCACCAAGAAGAAGAAGAAATATGACCTTTATACAGAGAATGCACGGAGTGGATTTCTGGGGAATACCACGGAAAATGATGGACACGGATGTGTTTCTGAAAATGCTCTTAACAGGGGTCTGTCACGGATGTCGGAAAGGCATGCCGTGGAATGGCCAGGAGAGCAAAAAAAGACCCTATGTGTTGCGGCAAAACAGGGTTTAACCTGGGCCCAGGAGGTCGGATGATGTCGGGTAGAAACTTAAGCCCCCAGGCCGCGGAGGAGACGACCTGGTGCTCGGCGGGTCTCAAGACACCCGAACCCTCAGCGCTGAGCCAGGAGCAGAGCAGACACAGGAAGTAAGACATGAATCATCACAGGACACTAGGAACAGGACAGAAGTAAAGCGCCCTCTAGGTGTACAGGGCGTGACGGAGTCCTATTCCAGATGATTCCCTCTGGTAGACACTTGCCAACACTCGTCTGTGCTGAGAGTCGAGCCACTAGATCCCGCACACGCTGTGTTCATGCAACACTGGGGAAAAGTGGGAAGTGATGGCAGAGGGCCCAGCAGAAACACGATGCTCACAGCTACTGACTGTCACCCACTCCCCTGGGAGGAAGGCGTCTTGTCATCTTCCAGAGCAAACACAATCCTTACAATAGGCTAACAGCACTCAAAATAGCTTCACCCCAATTACCGACCTCTTACTACCGTGCAGTGCCCAGTCTAAATGGTTCAGACAATAAGTGCTTCATTTTGCAAAAGGATTTGAGAATAATGAGAAGTTACACTGTCGGAGAGGCGGGGATGATCCTGTCAGCCAGTGGAAATGAAAGCAGAAAAACATCTCATTTGTCTGTGTGACTGGTAGCTGGATGTCAATCCGAAGATCCTGCTACAACAGCTGCAGCCCGTTGGTGGAAATTATATACTAAGAGATGTGAATTTTATGTTACAGAGAGGTCAGACTGTAATAGCACGACTCTATGGAAATTACCTGGGGGTGGAAAAATTAACATCCTAATACAGAGACAGACAACCCAGATGACTTCTTGCTAGAGTACCTACAAGTAATAGTCAATATTCATAAACACAGCCTCACTATTTCCACGTACTGTAGTTCCCTTCAAAACTCACAGTTTCAGATTTACTGTGAGTTAAATCCTCAATGCCAAGTTAACTCAGGGGACATATTGCAGGGATGCAAGGAGAAATTAAATTCTGGGAGACGACAGTTGATGCTTTGCTTACACGGAGAATCGTGGAAAGTTTGAAGCAGTTCTTTAATCCAGGTGGTGGAAGCCACGTCAACTGGATCCTTTAAAAGAAGAGCTTGCTGAAACGCTTAGATTGTTAAACTGCTAGCTCCCAAAATCACCAAAGTGAGCTCAGTCCTTACATGCACGTGATTCCTGGGTTTCTAATGTGAAAGTCTGAGCACAAAGAATAATACAAGCTTGATTATCATGACTTGCCTGTTTGCCTGTATTCCCCATGGGCAGATGGGCAATGGGCAGCTCATTGTGTTCATTTCTGCTACATGTTGGGCTCTGTAGCCTTCAGCTAAATGTATTACTTGAGGCAGGGTGGTTCATCTGCAATCATACAGGTCTAGAGCAGCTTCAGGACTTCCCAATATTGCTTCCAATGCATATAGAAAAACCTTTACAATAATTATTGAAGAAAACTTGAAGCAGACACCAGGGAGTTTTGTTTTCAAAAACATTGCATGTCTAAACAACGTGATTGCAGCAAAATTAATTCATTTTGGTATCTGAGATTTATCCCAGGTATAGAATATACCTGTTTTGCAGTTATCCCGCTTTCTGCTCTGGAATGTTTCAGACTTCATCCACTAGAGGGCACCCCTTACAAATCGGTGAAAAACATGAAACGTACTGCCAGATTTCGCCTCCGCCCTAACCCACTTTTTGCTGTACTTCTGAGCCCACACACAGCTAATAAACTGCAAGAACTGTGTGTTCTGTGTGACACTTTCATATCATTAAAAATTATAGAAATATGAGAGCCATTCTTTCTCTGGAGGGAATACATCTTCTGACTGGCACAGAGAAGAAGCATAGCTTATTGTTGGAAGCGCTAACGCTTCTCCAGCACGTACGTACAGTATGCACACAAAAATCTGCAGGCACTTCAAATAATTATTATATACTGTGGCAAATACTCTGCCAGACTTGTCCACAGTAAAGAACTTTGGACGTTCATTTCTCAGAAAAACAAAAACAGAGACCTGCTGAAAAATCCCTGCTCAAACTCAGCAATATGAGAAGCTGTGACCCTACACAGGGAGTTGATTGTTTGGGTGTATCCTGTAGTAATTATGTAATATAAATTATATAAAAACGACCGGTCATTTGACTTGGACCAAATATATCTTGGTAAGACTTGTTTGGAATTAACTGCCTGTGTGTAGTAAATGTAGTTGCATTAGCAGATTGTGGAAGAGTTCATCTTTAATTTGTACATTGTTGTTGTACTGCTCAGCAAGGCCCTTAATGACTCCTGTAAACTGGGGTGGATGAGCAGGTATCAGACTATACTGGGGCTTAATTTATAAATATCGAATTCTGTGGAAGACTTGTACTTTGCTTCAACTCCAAGAGCAGGAATAAACACTGCTCACCCAAGCTACTTAGTACATCAGCTGCAATATTTGGATAGACATGATAAAAAAAAAAACATAATTTTTTACTTTTGTGCAGAAATCAGCTTTGTAATACCACCCAGAATAATTTCTAGTTTCAAAGCCTGTCCTGTAAAGATGGATTAAAAGAAACATTCTCTTAAATGAAAGCAAAGCATTTCACATTCTTTGAAGGACTGCTGCAGTCCAACCTCCCGAATACAACCAGGTCCAAAACGTATGCACACAAAGAACAGAAATTAAGAGGCATTTCTTCACTCAGACGGCTGTGGTGTCTAAAACAAACTGCCCCGCAATGTTAATGAAGCTGACATGCTTGCATCACTTGAGAAACAGCAGGCAGAGATTTCTGAATCAACCAATCAACAAATATAAAAAAGTAACAGAGTCCATTGGATCTTCTCTTACTTGTAATCTGCATTGCATTCGTATATTCCTATGGGCTTATAACTGCAGTTCCCAGTTGAGTAAGTCATTTTTATCTTAAGGTAATTAGGCAATCAATAAGTAATATAGGGGTACAATTATCCCATCTCAGAAGTGAACTCAGGTTCTGATTCAAGTGAATACACGAGTCAAGCATGATGCATACAATGACCTCTGATTTGTAATCTTTCTTCAGTTCTTATGTGCTGGTCTGCCTGGGTAACTGGCAGACACTGAAAGGACAAGCTTGGTGTTTGGAGCCAAATTCACTGGCTCATTAGGCTTAAAGGGGTACAGATACAGTAGAATGTGGGATGGAGACAAGGTGGCCAAAGCCTTTTTGGCCCCCATAAAGCAAAGCCAAAAATACATGCAATATGAGCAGTGTCCTGCATTTTCAGTACTTATTTTAAAACGGCATGACTCCCTATAAAAGGCAATTGCCAACCATTACTTCTCCACTAGATCCCAATTTAGCCAAACACATTCATTATCCTCAACTGATGAAAAGAGATGCGCTGCTATATATACTTATCACTTAGTGAGCTGTGACTGAAAAGAGGTTATCGGGCTCGGGGATAAGGGAATGTCATCAGATGTAAACTGTGCTTGAAGAACTGAAGAGGCAGCAGCACCTCAGTGGCCCAGATCAGTTCAGGAAGAAGCGGCTCAGGCCTCTTTGTGATCAGCAGAGTTTCAGTGTTTTTAACCGGGAGAGAGTAAGACCAGAGGCAAGTTTAAACAAGGCGTCACGTGGCCAAACACTGAAAACACGAAATATGAGTTAAGCATAAGAAACCGAAGGCACGTCTTCGTGTTCACGGTGTTTACAAGGGAAAAGGAAATCTAAGCCGTACAGATACCAGTTCTTGAAGGTCTTTTCTGAAACCCCGGAAAGAGATTATAAGGAGTAGCAAGCGAAGACCAACCTGACAAGCTGAATGCTTCCTTATTAGAGCAACGGCTGTAATTAGTCAACACTCCTGCCGCATCTAATTTTAATCAGCTGTATAAACAAATTACACCCTCAGACAAACACACTGTCCCAAATCCTAAACTCAACCGCCATGATTGTGAGAGATCAATATTCCCCTAGAGTTCACCTGAGTCACTATTCATATTGTAACAGGACACCTTTCCTCCCCCAGGCACAGATGACAGTAGCATCTTCATGAGTCTGCAAAACCCCGACATCACTTCACAAGGTCTCATCAGCGGGCTGCATCTTTACAGCTTTGTTTTCTTTCCCAGCTAGGGCGGGCACTGCAGCCCTAATTCAGTCATACATCACAGGCAACACTGCAGAAGCCTTGCCTTTCTGTTATTACATTGTCCCTGACAGACATGACTTCATGATCTCACTGCCTGAGATTTGCAAAGTGGTTAAAATAAAATGTACTAAAATACACACCTTTTTTAATACCAGCTCCAAACAGGTGACAAATGAAATCTGTTTTAAAAAATCCTCGGGGCTACACATTTGCATCCACAAGGAATTTGGTCCAATTCATACTTTTGATCATTTTAGCCAAGTCTTAACTATGTCTATTTGTGAGATCAGATACTACTCAAACGGCTGTACTGGTGCATCAGTACCATTTGCTTTTCAATCTTGTTCTACCCTTTTATTTAAGATATTGTACCAGATCTCAGGGTCATGTTAAGAATTTCATTATGTTCATCAATATCAAGCTAAATATCAAAAGTGTATATACAGTGGTGCTAATCCCTTGTTGTTATTTCTTAAAGTGAAGGACACACTAGAGTTCCCAAGCAGGTACAGAAACGTGAAGTAAACCAGTTTGATTACCTTCCAGTCTGCGTCCCCAATCGAGAGAAACGTCTCACAGTTTTCCTGAAAGAAACAAAGGGCGAGAGGGTTACTAAGACCGGGAGTGATGTTGGGATTGACAGAGCACATGGCAGCACTGGACTGCAGCATCCACGGTGACTCGCTGGCACCCCGTGCTACACAGTGCCACCCACCTGGGGGATACTGACAGACTACGCTCACATCATCATCACGGGATCGGAAACGGGCAGGTCGCAAAGCAGGACTCCATGGGGACAGTGGCTGACCTCCACTCTCCCCTTCACACTTAATCTCAAAAGTATTTCCAAACTACAAAACATCTGACAAGCCTCACTTCAAACAGAGTCACTGTGCCTTTCAATTATGTGTACTTTGGCTACAACAATCATGTGTAGGCTGCATTGTATTTTTGTTGTGCTCATCTTACCTGCAGAAGCAGTAGCTGTAGAACGTTAAGAAGGAATGCACACCTACTGTACCTCTGCCCCAATGTAAATGAGCTAATGCACGACCTTACAACGGAGAGCTTCGTTGCAATACGCTACAATAACGTTATGAGTTAACTCCATGCTGAAAAATCGATAAAGCACAAAGAACAGCCTGAAGCTCTGAGAGTGGAAACATTGAATTTTCCAGAGTAGACTTCATCTCTACTTGGTCCCTTGCAGCCAGCACACTGGTGCAGCTCCCTGCTCAAACCATGGGTAATTATTATGTGAGATATCTGTGAATCTTACGTTGAATATATTATATATCGCACAGTGCACATATTCTATCTCAAAGTGGATATATCCTGTATATCTCACAGTAATCTAATAGATTTTGCAGTGAATAAATCATATATAGCACAGTGAATATATAATCTTTCTTCCATTGTATACGTTGTATATCGTACCATGAATAAATCTCATAGTGATTGTACAGAGTCTACTGTGGAACACAGAGTAAACATGTTTAAAACAGGCAGAACTAATTCAGGTTGTCAGGAGATGGCTTGTCATTCTTGCTGGGACTGAACAATTGTGCCGAAAGACAAAAAAAAACATGTTTTCAACTCCCAAAGGACACAATGCGTTCAGGTGGTGTCTGTTGTGAGGCCTGTTGGTGCCAAACATTTTGAGGTAGAGATGTGGAAATAAAAAAAGAACTGAGAAATATTTGTGTTAAAGGAAAAGGCACTGTTTACTTTGAGCTGTGGAAAGCATGCGGAGCTGAAGGTGGCACCATTATAACAGAGAATAATACAATACACCTGAAACAGAAAAGAGATCTAGAGTGTGCTGCAGACGAAAACAAATCCATTGCCAGCATTGGAGCAGAGATTATGGAGAAACGATAAAGATTTGACATTAGCACAAGATCACAACAGATTATTGTGAGAGCTGTTAACAGTGTATCCCATTGTAGTGCACTTCTACTGATGTTAAGTCACATATAATTAAGATTGTTGTGACAGTGTACTCATGCCCTGGGTCAGAATTAAGCTGGACAGCACTGATGAAATCGAATCCCACACTATTTCTGCAGGAGTTAAAAAAATATACTATCAACTCCAATGATGATATTAAACCTTCATAAATAATACAGATTTCCCTTATTGGCTCATTGGATTCTGGGATTCAGTCAGCAAATATCCCAGCATGCTTTGCAATGATCTGATACAAGCCCTGCAACCACACAGACAATTCAGGCAGAAAACAAAATGCATCTCTCTTTTTTTTAAATAACAGGCTAATAGGTATCTCAGTGGTGCATTTTCTTTCTGAACATCAGGGGTCAGTCTTATTCCTCTTGATATTCTGTAAATACCTTGATTTTAATGCAAGACCATATCTCTCCTTAACTATTTTAATCCATCATGCTTCCAGCTATAGTATATTACTGTATGTACACACCACTACAGGAAACTGGATCCTAGTCTCGTATATACAGCTTGTTCTTGGGGCACTAAGGACACATGTGCACACTCCCTGCACGTCTTGGGAGTGTCCGGATGAGGTGGTGTTTCACAGATGGGTTTCTTCTTCCCTGCCACTGCACAAGACAAGAACCTGGTGATCCTGTTGAATGACATCACCTCTTGGTCCATCACAGCAGCAGACAGATGTGGTAGGCTTGTCTCACTGCAGCTAAAAAGATTTTTCCACTTCAGTTCCTCCCTGGGCATCATTGAATCCTGGCTATTTTAAAAACCTATTTATACAGAACTTTTTTTAATGCCCATATCCCTGGTGTCAGGGAGGACCTCCGACTTCTGACAAAGCACATTAACTTGAAGGAATCTATTTTAGAACTGGAATTCAGGCTAATCCCTAAGGCAGACAACAGTTCAGTTCTCAAATACAGTATCAAAACTTAGATGCACTGTTTAAACATCTATTGCGGACAAGTGTCTAAGCCAAAAGAGAAACTATTGATCTGATTTTCTTGGTGACATCCATTATCTCCCATCTATATTTCACATCCTCCACCAGGATCATCAGGATCAGGATCAAGTTGGATGGACTTAACGATCCCGACCTACTGTGCAAAACTTGAGTGGCACCATTATAACAGAGATTAAAGCAATTGCTAACCTGCATGTGTTCACAGCAGGAATTGCATTTGCTTAAGAAAATATCCATTGGTGGTGCTGCCGTGGTCTTCAAGCACTTTTTCGCAAGCCTGACATCACAGAAGTGGGTTCAAAGGCTTCATCGTGGAAGTTCGTTCACTGTCAGTAAAACTTCAGCTAAACCAGTGCGATGTTTGATGTCACCCTGAGAAAATTTAGCTGAGCATTGAGGTTGCTGCTGTATCTTTCAGATGAAACAAAACTTGAAATCAGACTGACAAGAAATATGCTATAGAACATGGAAAAACCCTTTTAACAAGGGCAATGCTGATAAATATCTAGGTTACAAGGGCTGGTGGCCCTTTTATTTTTCAGCCTTATCCCCCACTGAGGAACTATTGCTTAGGCTGTGTGAAGAGTTGAAGTTAGGTGGGAGAACATTTGATACTGAAAACTGAGGCTACTTCTTTTTCGCAAAGTGATGGTGGAGGATGGAACAAGCAAACCAGCCATGGTGTTGAAAAGGTGGGCATCCCCCAGGAAACGACAGGATGAGATTATTGAACAATTAAGCTATCAGCGTCCGAAAGAGCTGGGCGAGAATTTCAGAGAGTGATACATGAATGTGTTAACCCTTATACTCCTCATTCAAAATGGCCTGCTATTCGGAAGTAATTGTTTACATCTGGAATTACTTCATAAAAAAAGAATGAATTGGTTGGGGACAAATATTTATCTCTTTTAAAAAAAAACAAACCTGCTACAGGTTACAGCTTGGGGGTCTTCTTTCAGTGCTAAGAAGCAAAGAAGCTGAAATGAAACAATTGCTTTGTGGAAACGTGATAGTGCTGATGGTGAGGTAGCCTTTGGGGCTCCTAACAGTGAGGACACAGGACTATAGAGAGATCTGACGCTGCCTCGGCTTAATTACCGGTACGCGACCTCTAGTCCTTCGTCTGGTGATTCGGAGCCAGTGCCGTGCGATCACGTGGCTGCGCTGGAGGCCAGTGGGAGGTTTTGCCTCAGGTTTGGAGGAACGGGGCTGTGCAGACGTGCGCAGTCCCTCTCTGCGTTCCAGCTGCACCAACACAAATAAAAACACCACCTCGTCAATCCATCACTCAGTCACACAGCACGCAAAGCAGCCAGGGCGCGCAGCAGCTCTTGGCAAAGAAAACCGTGAACATAAATAGCAACAGGCAGAGTGTCCAGAAGGTGCTGGTCTAGTAGGTGGGGCCCTGCTCAGTCGGTCGGGACACTGTGTGGCTGAAGATGCCAAGTGCTCTGGTATCGACACAGGGCTTGGCACAGGCTTACCCACAAAAAAACGAGAGGGGTTGTGCTGGGCTTTTCTTCCCAGTACTGGCTGGAGATTTAAAGGCAAGCATAGTGGAAAAACTGCCTTGGATGTTCAAAATAACAAAAAAAAAGTCCAAATAAATTAAAGCTGTCCAAGATGCAAGGCTTATTTTTTCTGGGCAAAACAGCACAACCTTTGGAATGGATAGGTGTTTCAGTTATTATTGTTACCTACAAAGAATGCCAGAAATTACTGTTATGACTGAGAAACGGTTAAAAGCACAAGAAACACTGGAAACAGGAGGAAGCCTTTCAGCCCTTCTGTCTCGTCTGACAGTTAACAGCTTCCAGGTTCCTCAGTTCCTAAACTACCCGTTTCTTGAAAGAAGTCAGAGTATGGATTTCAATATGGCTGGGTAGCTTGTTCCAGACTACTACAACCCTTTGTGTAAAGAAGTACATCCATCTCTTGTTTCAAAAGAACTTCCAAATAGTTTGGGAAATCCAGAGCTAATGGAAATGAGCAGTGGCTTTGACTTGAATGGGCTCTTCACTGTGCAAAAGTGACCGTGTCCAGAATGATGAAGCACAGCCTGCGTAGTGCTGTGATATGCAGAGGCAACTTTTTCATCCCAAAGAAAATAAGCAAAGCAAGTGAAGAAAGATAAAACCATCAATTAAGATGTTGTTGCTTCGTTCAGTCCTCTGACACATTAGGTAACTGTTGAAAACAAGCTCAGACTTGTGGAGGTCTGTATTGTATTAAGGCAAGACCACAATGGAACGGTAAGGCTCTTCCACTTAGTGACAGCACAGGTAGTTTTGTGAAAGCACACAAAGGTGAAGGAAGCCTCTTCAAAAGAAAACCCCTGATTAAAGTCCATAACCAGAGTCAGCAATCTTCACATCTGTCCAGAGCAGCCCAACAAGAATGGACTTGGACATGACCACGAGGGGGGTATTCACAGGTCTCGGTAAACTAACACCGCATCACAGCATTTCAGTGCCAAAAAGGTGAGCTAGCACTTACACCACTTTCTTTCAAGAGTCCACAGCCAAAAGCGGGACCACTCAATGTCATGGAAAAGACAGTCTTCTATTTCCAGATGGGGATTTAAGCACACGACTTCTTCTCATCCCATACTAAAAGGATGTCAAAGCACAAAGCCACATTGCGTTGCTGCCCTCTTTTGGAATTGAAGTTCTGGATTGAAGGGGAGAGAGGGAATCCTGAATCCTGACGGGGAATCCTTCATCACTCGTTCCAGTCCGGTGCCTCTGGGGAAATGGAGCCAGTACCAGGGGGGTCTAAACCCGTTGGCCTTAGATCCCCCCACGGCTGCCCCTTCGCTCCAGGCCTGCCTGCACACTTCTCTGCTGCCTTGAAGAGCTATTGGACAAGAGTGGCTCAAAGACCATGGCAGCTCCCCTCTTCTCCAGGCTGAGTTAGCTCTTCTTGTGCGTGCGTGCATGCGTGCGTGCGTGCGTGCGTGCGTGCGTGCGTGCGTGCGTGCGTGCGTGCGTGCGGCAGGAGAGGTGAGGGGGGAATCACAGAGATTAAGCGACTTCATCCCGATGCTGATTTCCATTCAACTAGCTGGAAGGGAGGAGGAAGTGAGCAGAGGGAAAAAGACAGTGCGCCTCCCCATCCCTTGACAGGTGCCTGTTCCAGTCTACAGGAGCTGTGCCTTCCTGGAGCGGAGCGCTCCTGTGTTGCCCTGGAGCGGGCCAGCAGAGCAGCAGTCATGCATGTTGTGAGATTGGAAAGGACGTGGAGAAGCAGAAAGGGCTGTTCTGAGAGCCGCAAGCAGGATTTCGAGATGACTCACACGATGTGCTGAAGTGAACACTCTGGCCCATATTGTCCAAGGCTGTTACTGTATGTAATCATTAATCAACATTACAGATCCAGCATATGAAAGTGCAACATAACGTGATTGTTAACTTGAATAGACTGAGAACAGCAATTTAATAAAACAGCAGTCTACGAGGTTGTCTTAGATGATGAAGTTCTGACAAACTAATTTGATTAATGTTCCACTGATATGTGCCATATATTCAGGACAAACCATACATATAACAAATGCACATTGTTAAGGCAACAGGGCTGGAAAAGAACAACAGGAAACTCATGTAAATGAGTGACATACAGAACGCAAACAGGATGTTTTATTCATTTGTATTTGTGAATATTATTTATAATTTATTGTAAATTTCACAACACTGTTTTGTGTATCAGCAGAATTGTAGACCACTGTTTCAAACCTTATTCTTTCCTGAAAAGAACTGTTTTTAAACATACTGTACTTCACTGTGAATAGTTTCAGGTATTTGTGTTTCTATTGTACCATTTGCAATAAGGTGCAGCTGTTTCTGAATTTCTCAGGCCGGTCCTTCTATTGACTCACACATGTTCCCACTTTCTGTATAAAGCTGTGTAGAGTATTTGATTGACGTGATTCGGGGGGAATTAAATGCACAAGAAAGGAAAGGGAGTAGAAAATTAAAGATGTACTTAACCTCAGACTTTTCAGTTTAGGAAGGGAAAGGAGACACATGCTTGAGAGTACAACTGCAGTGTCTTGCCTGATATCTGAACCTACAATATTCCACTTACAAGTCCAGAACTATACCTGTTGCACCATGCTGCTGCCCGACCCACAGCAGTTCTGCAGAATTTTGTTTTACATTTTGGAACATTAGTTTCAGTCCATTTGAATGTGTTAATTCTAATGGTTCTATAGTTAATTAAAATCAGTGTTGTATTGTATTGGAGTAGACATGCAAATAAGCATTTCATTACCCTTGTGCATCTGGCGAATAAACTGAGCTGACCTGATGTTTTAAAGAGCATTTAACTGTGGAATCTGCTGTTTTGTTCAAATTGTGTTTTTTTCCTGTTCAGAGCCCTTGTGAGACGCTTTGTCTTCTATCAGAGATTGATCTTTGATTCAAAACTCTTAAAGGAAATTACTTGGATGCCAAATCCAGGTCATGTTTTCTTTGCTGAGTCTATTACAGCTGTGATGTAAACCAACATGTGCTTTCACATGGCAGCACAAATGTGTTTGAGCAAACTTCATCATGTGCGTCTGTGCAAACTATTCTTGACTGCAAGGAGTTTTGTTTTATTGGTTTCTTCCCACTTTCGGACTTACCATGGTTAAAGACCAGATAGATAGAAAATATTATTAAGCAAGGACTGTGAATTGAGACAGATAAACCTCTTAATATATGATAAACACTGAGGACGCGGTGCTCTTTTTGGACTAGAATGGCATTTCACACCTGACAAAATAAGCCCTTCTGGACTGCCAGCTGAACCCTGTTCGGAATCACATTCTTTAAACAAACTAGCAATCCAACCCCACTTGATTCAGGGTGTTATCTGTAGTGTGAAGTGTCCATTTTCATTTATGCAATACAAGTAGTTTTTCCTAGATGGACTTTGTTTCTGGTATCTCTAAAAATCATCTTTACAATCTTCAGTTAATTAAAAATGTGGCACAGAGCAGGACTAAATCTAAGACATTGCTCCTTCTTGCTTAATTCGACTAGATGTCTCTTAAATTTAAAATTGATTTCAGACATCTATTGTTGCTGCACAGACACTACTGTGCTCCCTCAGCCCAAACAATCTGGTCCTGGTGTATTCTCCCAGCTATGATCCACAGTTATCCACTGATGACTCACTGTAAGTCCCCAAGAATAGAATACATCCTAGTAGAATGTGCTTTCCCTTAATGAGCAGAGATTTCAAAATGCTGTATCTCACTGCACCTGCAGAGTAATTTATTTTGAAACCTGATTAAAACTTATTCTGTCACTTTGTTTTAATCACTTGTGACTGCTACACAGCCATTTTTAAACAGTTGCATGCAATGCAGTTAAAAAAAAGGATTTTAGTGTTAAAACTGTAAAGATTCTTTCCCTCTCATATATAGTAAACAATGCTAGTTCAGACTGAGGTTGGAGTAATGGGGTCCCAGAAACCATTACAGCCTCATCAAGATTTTGATTAATCCAAACCAGGGCTGATGGAAGAGTCATTTCCCTGCTTCTCCAGTATGTCTGTGCTACAGTACACCTCTCAGATAAACAGTTACAGTAGGTCACAGTTTCTAAATTAGCTGCAACGATGCAAAAGTCAAACGCTCTCTAAATCCCTTGCATTTAAGCACTAATACTTCAATTCTAAGTGTTTGACTCACATGCCACATAGACTTCTTTAAAACAGCACTCTTAGAAGCAAAAAGAACTTTAAACACCGTCAGCTGCTTTTCCTTCTTTCTGACCATTAATTTGGAATGGCCAATTATTATTCAATGACTCACTGTCACTCCCCCCGATGCAGGCTGGTAGAGTTGATTACCGCATACATGCATTCTCCAAACTGTATATTTTCAAACCATCTGTTGGTTCTTGCTCTATAGGCCCTGAGCACCAGGAGCAGGTCTTTTGTCTTCAGATGCACAGCTAAAACAGGCTGCATTTCCACTCATTTAGGATTTCCTGCTAGGATGGGCCAAACAAAACCTCGCCCAGGCCTTCCCAGAAAACTGGAAAGACCTGTTCTGACACCATGCAAGGGGAGGATGAACTTTGCCGTGTGCAGAGGCTAATAGGCATTTCTGTGCCGCTTTCAAGCGTGTGGTTCCTAATCACAGAAGACACCTCACTTGGATACCCATAACTGTCTGGCGCCGTTGTGTTCAGCACCTGTTATTTAAAGTGTTCAGCAGACACAGCAGAGCAGTGATGTGAACGCAGCTGGTCCCTGTTGCCCGAACTGTGTTCCAAACACATGCAGAGCATGTCGTTACCGTGTGCAACGTCACCACGGGCAGAAAATATTAACAGAGATGTAAACAACACCTGAGCCTCTCAGAGCACCAGGGCTTAAAGCTATTGGAGACGCAGCTTGTTGGGTAGAAGATCAGATACTGCAACAGTTATGGAGGTTTTGTTAATGGACCTGGATGTAGACAGTTCAGGTTGTCCCAAGCAATCGATAGGCTGATTGTCACCGTCTGTGCTTTTCAGAAATCAGTAGCTCGGGAGCTCCCTTCATGCACACTGAAAGGAGACCGTCATGGAAGCAGTAGCAGTAGAAGCTGGGTCTCCTTCTTTGACCTCTTTGGTACTTTTGGAGCTGCAGTAGCATGACGACCTGTGACGTGCAAACTCCAGATTACAGTGCCAAAGCTTGACAGCAGGAATGTGCAAAGAAACTAGAAACTATGTGCCATGCACTTCTAAAGCTGATGGACTCTGGGGAGAGGCTTAGTGATAGTGATGATGAAACTGAGACGTGAATGACTACTAATGAAAGCATCTATGTGGCGTGATCATGTACAGTAAGTAAATGATTCATATAAATCATGCTTTGCTTTGGGACAAACTTTACTTTGGAACTACTGGACATGATTAAGTGTGAAGTTCCTTAAAACTGAAATAACTAATCTCTAACTGAATGTTTCTAATTATTTTTGAATTGTAGAGACTCTTGAAGCGCTTCCAAATGCAAGCAAACCCTTAACATGTACAAAAGCATGTTGTGCTTCCCCACGCCTGCTTGACCAGCCCCTCCCAGCCCCAGCTCCTCACCATCTCCGTGTCCTGGCCTGGCAGCAAAGGTTTATCCTCAGTGAACTGCAGCTCCTTCAGACCAGCCATCCTGGAGAGCAACCTGGAAACAGACAGAGGACCAGGGTCACTGCACACTGCCACTACACAGTATGGCCTGCATAGACGGGATAGCCTGTCCTTATCCAGGGAGTCACAGGTGAGCAGATTTCTCAAGCACGAGAAAACTATTAATGGGCTAAGTAGAGAACTGGAAAATAATTGATTCATGAACCATGCGGTTCATGAGATTTACTGAGTCATCCCTTCTGTCGAAGCTTTAGACTCCACAGCCACAGATTAGGCCACCAGATTCTTCATATCTCATACCTATTGAAAGGGCAACTGAACTGTTTGGAGGGTTTCCAGAGTTCAAAAAAGAAACCTAGCTTTAGGGTCACACAGTGAGAGCAATTAGCAATGCAGTAGCTCCATTTCAATTTACAGTACATAGAGCCTTTTAATTGCAAGCACTATTCCAAAGCACTAACAAGTGTACCGGTTTTTGGATTTGGCCTTGTGCAGTAGAAGAGTAATACATGAAGTACAGTCAAATAATCTCCATGTCAAATACACAAAGCAGGCTTTTTCCACTGAAGGTCCCCTTTATAAAACCGGGTGGATTACAAGTACAAAAAACAGAAAAAAAAATCAAACGAGGCAGCAATGAGGAGATTTTGTGAAATGTCTATGTTTTGCTCAGGTCATTTGGGCTTTGGCATGCAGTTCCTAATGTGAAGGAGTCTGCTGAAGAGAGAGAGACTGCCAGGGCTGAAAGGTTTCTCAGATATACTGTATACAGTACAGTGTGTCACAATGACAGAAAAAAAATGATCTTGTTCTTTAGGTTAGTCGCCCTCAGGTAATTGATACAGTATTACAAAGGGAAGAACCTGAGGTGTTTTTATTTTTCTTAAATATGCAATTTTCTGAAGTTCACTTATTTAATAAAAATACAGATTACTTGATTTCTCTATGGAACATGCCTTGGACTCAAACGTCAAAATAAATGTACTGCTACAGACAGAATACATTTAAAAAAACTACACCGGCGTACTGAGCTCTTTCCATGCGCATCTCATTTACTAGAGCTCAATATCAGCCAAACTGTATAAATTAAACATTTCTTCATGATTAAAAAAGATTAATCCACTAACGGATGGGATTCCCTAGACTGGTGAATAATTTGAATTTGTTGTCCTAAAGCTGGGAAACCAGGGCCTGTGGCATTTCATTGACAACTTCGGATAATTAGGTCCTTTCTGATGTTTTCTGGTGCTCTTGGGCCCCTTTAGGTACATTCAGACGCCAAGCTATAATTCCCTCAGGCAGCTGAAGGTGGGCGGAATCTAAGATATTTTGTCGAAACGAACACTCCCACAGATAATTAGATGCCAATAAGGGATTCATTTGTAACATCTGTTGGCAGTATCCAAAACTGGATAACCTATTGCCTGAACTGGTAGGGTAGGCATGTATGAATGAGTACCCCTCAAAAATATTTGAAGGATATACAGTAAGTAGCAGGTGGCACAGGGGCCCCATGGTTATCATCGCAGCCCCACAGTCCTGTGTCCCCGAGTTCAATTGTGTGTGTGTGTCTGTCTGTGTGTGCCCAGAAATGGACTGGCATCCAGTGCAGGGTGTATTCTGCCTTGTGTCTGTTGCTTTGCCAACTCCCCTGTGATTCTGAATTGTATAATGAGGTTAGAAAATGGATGAATGAATGGATATTAGTGGCGGCAGTGAGTTTAAGACTCATCAGAGCTGTCATTAGAATGCCATGCATGATTGGCGCCTACAATATTCCTCCCCTTTCCAGGGGCGGGCCAGTAGGTCACTTTGATGTGCCCACTGTGAGAGTGGTTGCTTGAGCCTTGGGCCTGTCAGATGGATGTGTTCAATGGCAAGAGCCCCACAGCTGTCAGGCATCACCCTGCATGAATGCCAAGCATTGCACCATGTGATAAACATGCACTGATCGGGCCAGATCAAAAAGAACCACATCAGAATCTGGCAGATTTTGCAGAAACAGGAGGCAGAACCAAATATACCACTTCCTACCTGTCATCTGTAAAGGTGTTTTAATGTCGCACACCTACACATTCAGGAAGGCAGTGCCATGTCTGTGCATGGCATTTCCTCACAGACCAAATTAGAACTGCAAAATACAGCTTATTAAACATCCAGCACTAGTTACAGTAGTAACTATGAGCAATGCTGTTTACGGGGATCGGAATTGAAAAAGTAAATGACATTGGGAAGCTTATTGTGACAATGACAATATACTGTAAATAAGGACACTAAAATTGCAGATTGGCATAAATTGACCACAGAAAGATCAAATATACAAGCATGCCTTGAGCAGTTTAATTGTCATCAAGGGCCTTGGAAAAGAATTTGGGCTGTATAACTGCTGTTCCTCCAGTCTACCAGCCAGAGTATTTATTTGCATTTCATCTGGCTATGCAGCAAGGTGAGCTTATCAGGGAAATCTGTTGCAGTCTTTTTTATAAAGACATTTGCACAGCTTAAGCCAGAAAAGCTAAAAAAAAAAAAAAAGATATTTTCCAGCAGAGAACTGCTGACATTCAAACGTCATACTGAGCTTTAAGACAACCATCGGTGCACAGAAAGTTTCTCTCACAGTCTATGCTGGCAACAGATTAACTTGCCAGGTCATGGTAACACTTTAGCAGGCAATGTGGTGGCACTATTTCTGCCCTCAAGACTGATCCCACTTCTCTTTGTTTCGGAAAACTGTTGAAAACGGGTAAACTGTGTTGTTCAGCCACACACACCACTACACTCTTCTGAACCTCAACCAAAGGAGATCCTGCTGGATAAGAGATATGGGACAGGGCCGCAAATCTGTCAGAAGCTGCTGGAAAAGAGGCTATATTCTTGATCAGCTGGGTTTTTAATGTTTCTTTTTTTCCAGTTTAATTCAGTTCAAGTTTTATTATCTTCTGGAGGAATCTGGTTTTATTTTTCATGGTACAGTCCAATACAGCAATACAACAAAGACGATCAAACATTACCAACAGAGAAAGACAGTAAAATAGTGTTACAGGAGGTAAGACAGAAGACAGCTACTGCATATTGTTTAGTGAAATGCCAGTGAGGACGAAAGATTTCCTCAGTCTTTAACTTTTAAGAGGTCAATAAAAAGGTTAATACTATCAACCCTATTCTCTCTTTTTGTCATTTCTTTCTTTGAACAA